AGTTGTAAAATCTTCCGAGGTGTTATGAAAAGTATTTAATGATTTCTCTTTTCATGGCAGAGCAGTATACAACTGGAAAAACCACAATGTCGGCACAACGGCACCACAGCAAGTCGTACGAGGTTTAACTTATAAATGATTACACAAACAGAACATTCATAAAATAGCAGGGAGCTTCAGCAAACCACGAGGGCAATGGCAACGAGAACGTCACCAAACAAAAAGTTTAATAGGCAGAACAATGGCTGTTCACGTACTTTTTAAATCTCTGTACATTTCGTGGCCGTCCTCTGCAAAACAACAAAGTGAAACGACCAAGGCCCGCCGAAGAAATTTGGTTTGGCCTATCGTCCACACTAATACGTCAGGAAAACGGAGCTTTCCGAAAACGCTCTCTTAATTAAACTACTTCTTTCGTTCTCATATGGACGGAAGACATTTTGAAAACAGAGCTTTTCGAAACGCTAGCATCACGATAACCACGTGATTTACCTGCCAGAGTTTTCCTCAAACACAAATCCAAAATGACCAGTGCTTGTTGTATTTTTAAATTCCTCCGGCTAAGTGTGGACGGGCTCAAGTTCTGCGTATTTTGAAGAACGTACGGAAATCACGATGGCAATTTTTCGGTATTTCTATTTGGAATTGATCGCTGAAATTGCATATTTAGTTTGAGCAAGTTGTTATACCGAATAACGTAATGAGCACATTCAGATTGTTACGAAATCGGAAGGTAAAACATGTATTTATTTTATGTTACGTAATCTTGGCAAGATGGTTTATTTACGATGCTACAAAATTGATTTGTTATTAAGACCCCTGTTGTTAAGTGGAATAATAATAATAATAATAATAATAATAATAATAATAATAATAATAATAAACGAATCTTTAGACAGGATTAACCCATCAGTACGAATACAGATTAGTTACGCTGGTGAAGGGCTGATTGCTGTGAAGCTTACATTCACCTTGTCTTGCAGTGAAACAATGCAAGAAAATGTTGGCAACTTTTTGACGGGGATGTTTTCATTTCATATTCATGGCTAATGAGATAGGACAGCGTAAAAGTCCAGGATTTTTAGTCTAGTTCGACTGGTGTTGGTTAAAAATCTACATGAAACCTGCGAAGTTCCAGATATTTGTACATGCTAGCTATTTCAGCCGAAACTAGGATGAAATTTCCCCCCAAGATTTATCAGTAGTTAAAGCAGTGCGAATGATCACCAAAAGCGAGGCTGTCATTATTTACAACAAATCACGATCCCCCAACACAATTCTCCATTAGAATATAAATATAGAACGGTTTCATGTTAAAAGACAATTAAACGGTATCTGCCAAATAAATCATGGCCTTTTCTAGTGATTTAAGGATTTTAGGATTCCGAAGAGAACAGCTTTTACCAGCGAAAATTGCCTTTTTAAGGTTATTTCACCACAATGGTTTGATTTTCTTCGTAAATACTGTCTGCCGCTAAGGAAATGTTTACTGTTGTAAATACAAGACATACAATAGACGATCTACAGGGCTTGACGGTTTGGCCACGTTACACAGAAGAATTATCAAAATTAACGCGTAAATATCTAGAACATCATTTCCGAAACATATATGGATGCTTTGATGAAGTCATGGTTACGGGCTTTTGTACAAAATTAAATACAAGATATCCTAACCTCTAAAGCCTTTACAGTCCTTTAGGCAAAATCGCTGTGACTACGCGTTTCATCTATCGGATTTCTTCACAATCTTGACACCGTTGACGACCTTTGATGTCTTGCTTCTTCCAGTTGAATTCTTTGGGTATTGCGCAAAAATCTTGAGGTACAAATAATAAAAAAAAGAACAGTTGTCAGTGTGTCATCTTTCAAATTCATTGAATGAAGAGAAAATAGTATAAATTAAAATATCTATAATGAAAATTTGCGATTTAAATTAAACGGAATGTATGTTTAACACTGATTTATCTCTCGCTGAAAAACAAATATTTATTCCCTTATGATTTATTCACAAAACATAAATAACTTAGGCAAAATTACAGCCCTTTTAAATTCCTTAAGCTAATAGAGTTAGCAGAAACCTATTATTTTCGTCTTTTCTGAGTTACGTTAATTTTTTTGATGTAAATGAATCTGAAATGGTGAACTGATGCAAGTGGCTGTACTTGCAAGTTTTGAGACAATGACAGAAAAGTCGGCCGACAGAATTCAGGCCTTCAGCCTTAGTATTAGGCAAACTATCAAAGCAATTTCTTTCATTATGAAAGAAAAGCTCGGAAAAAAAGTTTTCAAGGTGAAAAAAGGGGAAAAAACATTTAAAAGTCGATCACTAAAAAGAAACGGAGATGGTTATTTACATTTTTGGGTAATGCTGAGACGGTTTATGGATAATACACTACAAATATTTACATTAAAGTTTTCTTTTTTGATCTGCCGCTTTCAAACTAGAGAAATAGATCTGTTGATCGACTGTTAAACCCAGAAGTAACGCTAACGAGCTTTT